GAGCGCGAGTCTGCCAGCCGAGTTCCTGCGGTAACGTTGGCGTCGTTGGCCACGCGCTGTGATTGGGAGCCAACGCTACCGTGGGAACTCGGCTGGCAGACTCGCGCTCTGATTGGTCGGGGTTTTTCGTTAATATCTCGTTAACAAAGTCTCGGATCACATTTTTGCTAAGGAAAAACTTGTTTCAAATCACCTCACGAGTCTCCCATTTCCGGGTTCTCCAACATTTTTGTTACACCCTGTATATATTTCTACATGTACAACAGTATGTTTTAAAATCTATCAAAAAGTGTGTGTAATGAATCTTTCTTTCATCAAATCCTATTTGCACTATAAAGAAGTTTTGCACCATACTTAAGTAATCACAAAGGTGGATACATTTTGAATATAATTAAATGTTATCTGCTCCTTAGTATTATTGGTATTGTATAAAGGGTGCGTTCCGCTAACTTGCTTGTAAAAGTCGCATGCGAAAAGTGTAGTGGAGGGGTCTTTTCACGCGTAAATTTGATCGGTGGTAATTTTGAAAAAGCGAGCTAATCTCGTGTTTTAATTTCGTGTTCTTAACACATTGTATGCCGGTTAGGTATTAGCTATTGAAAGCATGAGGGCCATTAGTTATATTGCCTACCTACGGGGAATGAATATTTGAAAGAAAATACATTAAAAACTTGTTATATTCTCACGAAAGTGTAGATAATATATATTTTATGTAAATGTACTATATTATTGCTGAATGTTCGTCAGATGCACTTTAAAAAAGAAATCAAATGTCTAGAAACGTTCGAAACATCTATAAGTTTAGTAATAATGGAATTTTACAATATCACGAGGCCGGCGATCACAACGATAATTAGCAACATAGTGACTATGTGGAAACAAAATCACGGAGTTACGGTCGATTTGGGCTTCAGTGAAACGCACCCATAGTGTACCATTAATTAAATAGTTATATAACTAAACATACATCCGTTTTACGTACACACTCCTACGTGATATATACTCTGTTCAATAAAATCGTGTCGACGATTACGCCCAAACGAAGAATGTCCTAGAAAAGATAGGGTGCATGTGGACGTAGCAATGTCGGGTTATCATGGAATTTCCCTAATAAGAGGTTCAATCGCCAGCGTGGGCTTGAATGGCACAGCAATGACGGGGCATGCTCTCCACCAGTGACTGGGCGTATGATTGTGGAACAGAGTATAGCTGCTTCAAAGATACAGCGTTAGCTATAAACGTGACCGACCCTTAAACCATTAGTACTCGATCATCGGAGGCTCATTATGTTCCACCGCATTCAGGGTCATGCGCCACTTTCAGCTATGGGGGTCCAAAAAAAAACAACGAAATAGACTGGAATATTTGACAGAAATTTACGTTTTCGTAAGCATTCATCAAGAATAAAAGAGCCAGAAGTATTTTGAATCTGAAATTAGTACACTATTAGAACTTGTTTGATTACATTAAAACGGAAAAACCAATCCCAAATTGACGTCGTACGACCCTGAACGACGGTCGAGCAGAGTTTTTACAATTCAAAGGTATCGAATGACAGGGATTAGGCTACCGGAACACATAAACTTTAGGGTCCACATAGTTTAAGTATCATCAGAGACCAGCCGTTTTTTATTGGGTCTGTGTCAGAACTTTGCGAGGGTCATGACAAGGTGGAAATGTTCTGATTCATCTTCCACAGGGTGCTGCGCCGAAAACGATACTTCGGATCATTGTCCTCTTGCAGTACCCACGCCGCCGAATCCGGGCAGGTATCAACATTCTGCGGAGAGTAATAGATACCGTCGATAGATTTTGACCAGTCTCTCTGTCGTCAAAATCCCGCTGAAGACGAACAATCTTCCAAAACTACACCATGATATGCATCCCCAAGCATGCAGTTTTAGGGGAGGTTTAATGGTTCGTACGACGACTGGCTCGCCATGTATGGACCAAGCACGCCTTCGGAAATATGCTGCGACGAAGGTGGATTCATCAGTGAAGATTACCGTGTCCCAGACTTGGTCTGCAGGCGTTGTTAAATGTGTACTTCGAAATTGCATTCCCGCAAACGTAGGCGTAATGTATTCAAGGACACTCGTATCCGTTCCTCTGTTAGCTATTGTTCGGCGTGCCGCAGCGTTAGTGAAGGATACCGTTGAAATAGTCGCAGTATCGTTCGGTCCTGCTCAATGGAAGTGTCTCGACTTCTACCACGTTCAGGAATGTCGTCGACAGTTCCAGTGTACTGACACTTCTTCACGAACGCTACCGACTTTTGCATGTACAGTGGACTCTAACTATATTGCCATGGTCAGGGCTATAGGGGAGTAAAATGGCAATGAATCCAGAGCCCCCTCCATGCTAAGTTCTGTTGTCACAGCCTCGGACTCAGCGCTTGCGCAAAAGCTGGGTCGTGCTGGTGCGTCGGCGTACGCAACGTGGTGGGAGAGCGAATTTGTGTGCTCGAAAGTACGTGTGAAGGGGAAGTGCCTCGCGTGGCAATATAGTTAAGAGTCCACTGCATCAGACTGCCACTGCATACGAAAAGGGTCCGCGAGGGTGCGTGCAGAAGAACACAGCTTCGAAACGAATAACGTACATTGTACTCATTGTGAAAAACTGACTTCTTTTACTTCCTCTGCCGCGATTTCTGTTCCTTTAAGACCCGTTTTTGAAAAGCGTCGACACGTTTTTATTGAACAGAGTGTAGCTACTTTATACTTCATGCTCTCGCATATGTGTTCTATGTTGTAACAGTTTCTAAACGGCGAAATAGTGATGTGTACATATTATGATTTTAATAATTTAATATTGTAAATTACTTTGATTTATTGTTTAATTTACTTTCCTTTATCCCAAGCCTAATACATACTTGGGTAAATTGTATGCAAACCGTGGAATTGCCATGAAGATGGACATCCTGTGAATAAGAAATAAAAAACACGATTATATTCAACAATTAAAATGCATTATTGAAACAATAACAAAATATACTAAAGTGACCAGATGTTTCTTGTTGTAATGCGGGACATGTCCAAACAAAAATTAAAAAAAAAAACACCCGAAAAAATGACTATGTACATCAATATCAAATATAACTATATGTATATATAAATATAATCATCGATGTAAAGAATAATGTTAAATAATTATTTTATTTTTACATATGTTTCCTCTGTAAAACTCCTTCTATAGGGTGATCGTGTCGTTGGAAGGGTCACCAGGCATTACAGACAGGCCGCCTTCTTTTTTGTTCAAGTGCCGCGACCATAAACATTTATTTATGGGAGACATTTTATTTTATGGGAGTTGGTGGCCCACCTAAACTGTAGCATCGACACCTTAAAAAGCCTATGATTTTAACCACGTCTATGTTATGAGAACGGTGAATCTGCGGTGGGTAGGGACACTAAAATGGAAATGGGGTAACGTAACACCAAAAAAGTGGGTCGCAAAAATGCACTGGATGAAATGTCTACTCCTATACCTCGCCTGTGCTCCTGCTGAGCGGTCTACGCGTGCTCTGTGGATATCTGTGAGACAGAGCGACAACTTTCGCCGAAGTCTATCTGCATCCACTTGGAAAAAGTAAGACTTTTTAGCGACACTTGAACGACAAAGAAGACGGCTTGCCTGTCGACCCATCCAGTGACACGCTCACCCTATAGTCAGTGTGTCGTTGCGCGCGCCAATCGTGCACATTGCGTGGTGGGTATGGAAGCAGGTCGTTCCCCCTACGACAGTGCAGTGCAAGCTGGTAGGGGAGCGAGCCAATATGATTCGCTGCCTGTTGGCCAAGCCTGTTTTAAACCAAGCACAAGTAATCTTTATATGCTTATGAGTCTTAATGTAGAAAATATTACAAAAATTTAATTGTATACGTGATCAGTACTTACTATAAAGAAGATAAAATAATATTGCTGTAACCACCACATTGTATGTATCTTCCACCACCAATTATCTGACTACCCAATGTTTTCTGTTGACGAGTACAGCTATTATATAAAATAAAATTTTTGTTTCAACAGTAATTAATAATTAATTTATGTGAATAATAGTTAGTCGCGAAGAAACCAAACAGTAAATACTAATTTTCAAGACATACTGATATTTTATCTAACACATGAGTTATTATGTAACTTATATAGAACTAATTTTGCTAAGTTTCAAATTTCAATGGCCCTAACTAACTTTATTTCATTATTATCTTAGTATAATTATTATCTTTAAGTTCCAAACCAAATATTACGTTATTCAGATGTATATTCAAAAAAACACTAAAAATTTGAAGATGTTTGTCAAATTTGATATATTTCAAAACATTTTCTATAATTACGTTGTATTATGTTTGTATTATTTTTTTGTCTGTAGTTATAAAAAAATTTCTGCTAAATTTTTATATTACTGGTGCAACCAAATATAATAGAATGCTCAAAATAGTTAGACAGCTAAGTTCTATTTTACAATACTAGCTTCGAATAGTCTAAAGCACAAGCTTTGAAAATATTGAATACCTTAATTTGTACAGAAGAGAGTCCTTCGACTATGTAAATACTAACTATTTTAAGCATTACATTAAGTCATATTTATATATATGTAAAGTAATCTCTCGAAAATCTCAGAAAATTAGGTCCACATTAGTAAATCATTTTGAGACCAAAACTGTTTGTAATCAGATAAAACCTTCCTTTTATTTCGGTGACACGCTGCGTTGCACGCATACCAGTTGATGAGTTTAGCAAATAAGTGAGGGAGAATTTAAAATTCGAGATTTTCGAGGGAGTACTGTAACACGTTGTCAACTTCGAAACCCTGTGTGAATTCATAATATGTTATATTCCTGGAAAAATAAATGTTAGTAATATAAGCAAGCATAATAAATTGATAATTCTAAGTATTACAAAATTTGTATTTTATTGGAACAAATATTTACAGTATTTTCGTATTATTTACACGAGAGTATCAAATAACATAATTTTATTTTTTACACTCATATTATGTAGAAAACTGGGTCGTCAAGAAGTCGGATACACTATCGGTAACATTTGTTAACTAAGTGGTTCTATTTCTCAGACTAGTACGGATATCTAAGTGAAATAAAATGAAATGTAAATAATAAAGAAATAACTACAATATATACAAAGTTGATTTATTATAGAATAACGGGAATTATTATTGTTAGAAGTTTATACATATAAATATATACATAAATAAAGCATGCAGCGATTGGTTTACTGTGTAATAGCCAATTTTAAGCAACATTTGTCAAATAGAATTGTTAGTAAAATTTAAATTACTTGGATTAATATCCTTACGACCAGAGTAAATTTGAAGCCACCAATTATGTACGTACGATAAAGCTAATCCATTGTAAATCCACACACGCCATCCTGTTCTTGTTTCACTGTCTATTCTAGATTCGAGACTCTGGCACAATGCTTTACGATCATGACTTCTTCCACTTCGTAAATCACAAAGTAACCTCTTCCGACACTCATCGTTGCACATTGGCCGGACAGGTGAATTCTTGTAGTAGTGTCTGAAACATTAGTAATGGAATAGAAAGATTCAAATATCTCAATTCGTTTCTGTTGTATCTACTTAACATCTAACGAATAATATGCGACGAATGTCGCCGGTGAGAGCGAGAGGACAGGAGTTCAAACTCAGTCGGTATGTCGAAGGTTGTTTAAATAAACGGAAAAGTGTTGGAATCGGTGGTATTTACAAGTTTATTGCCGTGAGGATATCGTCAATTAGTACAGTATAAACGCGGCGGCATCTTCGTCTGCGGTGCGGCTTCCACAGACTGGTGTCTGAGCCGAACAAGCGGATACGGTCCGAATGGGAGTTCGGACCCGGTGGAGTGTAGAGGTCTGCAACGGGCGGATATACTTAGACGGGTCTGCCTACCCGTTACCCGTCGTGTTTCGGTTCACTCAAACCCGCCCAAACCCGGTGTCGGACCGGCGGGTCTACATATACAGGGTGGGGCAATAACTATGTCCCCTTTGAAAATTGCCGTTATTTGTAATAATATGAAAAAATGTTATATACAAAACTTACACGGTATAGACGGGGGCATATTGTGACACAAACATTTTCTGCGTGGGTGAATGCATAGAGGAGATTTCAAGGTCATCTTTTTTATTTTTTTTTAATCTCCCACTCGCGCCCACACTGTTACCCACTGGCACTCGTGACTTTAGTTACGTTATTTCACTTTATGAGGGAACAATGTGGCGTGCATTTTATCGAATTCAAGAAATTATGGATACATGAAGAAAATTAATTTAATTTGAAATAAAGAATCAACAAAAATACTTGTAACATGTTTTGTTTTAAAATATGTAATGTATACAATGGAACAGTAAAACACAACCACAAAAACATCTTTCATATAAAAATTTAATAAAAAGTTGTAATAATTCTCCTTTATTATACAATAGTATCACAGAATATAGGATTGATTTTAATGGCATCATTTTAATGCATATATTGATTAAAATTGCTGTAAAAGTACCTTGAAATATTATTAATAAACAAACAAAATAAAAACAAAATCAATTGAAGGAATGGTATATACTTGCATAAAAGTGCAGTTAGGAAGAACTGAAGTATATAATGATAAATCGGTTTTCGCGTATGTATCGGTAGCTATGGCGTGGATTTAATGGGCTGAGTGGGTCTAGCGCGCATTCCACGGGTTGAGCGGACAGATCCCAGCACGGATGCGGGTGGGTTTGGGCGGGTTTGTGGCGTGCATCGTCGGGCCTGCGCGGGCCGAGTATGGTTCGGGTCGGACCAGCCCGGGTGACGAGGGGCTCAACCCGCCCGATGCAGATCTCTAGTGGAGCTCATTGCAGACCAAAGTCTGAGCCTGAAGGAAGACGGACTATGAACCGAAACGGATACTTGAGACCCGGTGGAAGTGGAGTGTCGGCTTATTGTAGACCGAAGTCTGAGCTTGGAAAAAGGGTTATGAACCCAACGACAATAGTTCGGACCCGATAGAGTGGCGGCTTATTACAGACCGAAGTCTGAGGCTTGAGAACGGGCTATGACCGAACGGTAGTTTGGACCCGGTGGAAATGTCAGTGGAGAGGTAACACGGTAGTCGACTCAGAACAAAAAGAGTCTCTCACTGGCAGTGCCCGTAAGTACGGTAATTGTGTCTGGGCTCGTGAATCGCCGTTCTTTTTCGCTAGCGAGAAACAGGGTGTAACAAAAATGTTAGAGGACCCGGCAATGGGAGACTTGTGAGGTGATTTGAAACAAGTTTTTCCTTAGCAAAAATATTATCCGAAGCTTTGTTAACGAGATATTGAAAAATCCCGACCAATCAAAGAGCGAGTCTGCCAGCCGAGTTCCCGCGATAACGTTACCTACCAATTGCAGCGCGATACTATTACAACTACTACCACTTTGTAAATTTATTTCAAGTACTGAAATAAATATTCAACTCAATGTTAATTTGGCATACATTTCAGCAACTCCCGAGATTAAGTGATAGGAAGCCCTTCCTCTACAACACTTTGCCCCCTAGCGGAAGCCGAGTTCACTCGTCGGTGTACAAATATATGCTTTTCATAAGCTTCTTATCATCTAAGAAGCACTTGGTAAATTGCATTTTTAGTAAAAAGTATTATCTTACTAACAAAAATATTGTATTTCTAATATTAGTTTTCTATTTGATAATCGAAACAGGTATACTTACTTGTAATAAAGATGAAAGAGCGAAGGTTCATTGCTCATTTTATCTATTAAAGAATCCCAATCCTTTGGCAATAGAGATGGCATTTGATACGCTTGTCGTGCACTATACATTTTGTGCCAGATAGGGTAATTATACAGATTTGCTTCCTTTAGATTCATAACCCAAGTTTCGTGATCTACAACTAACTAATATAAAGTTTTTAATTGTACACTCTCAAAAATACAATATTACCTAATAACTAATATTTGTTTCATTTCAAGGAAATAAGAAATATTTTTTAATTCTTAATTTCAAAAAATCAAACAAAGATCCTTAAGAAATGAATGGGTCTATTTAAAATAAACATTTTATTATTATTATTATACACATAAAAGTCAACACTGCATATCAAATTCTTAATTAAATAATATTAAATTAATAAGGGCGGCGTGTTTTTACACCTGGGTGGCGAACAACCCAGGAACAGCCCTGGGTACACATGTTTTTTATGAAGTATGAGTCTTAAGTACTACTTATATGTAATTATTTGATATCAGATACATAACAAAAGTTTGAATACAACTCACTCTAGTAGTTTTCGGATGATCACCATCTACATAATATATCCTATATCCTGGATTAAGATCATAGTAAGGTGTAACTGATGGTCCCACATAAGCTATACTGACAGCTCTTCCAAGATCAGCAACATCATAAAACAACTGAAATTCATCGTAGTGAGTGTGTCCAAAAAACTGTGCCGCGATTGTAGATTCGTACCTGAAGTAAAATATTTCTAGCTAATACGATTAAAGTCTTAATTTTAAATGAATAATTTATGTGATGGTCACAAATGTATTTTAATAACATCTTTACATGCTCGTTAGTGACAGAGATTAAGTATTGTATTATCGAAATGATGTTTAATCATGTTGAAAGTGATACCAAATAAATTTTTGTTTCATGGCTGCAAAATGAATGTTAATATAACACCTGTTGTACTATCATGTTTGAAAGTCAAGTCATGTCACGTCACGACTACATTATATCAGGTTTTTGAATGTTAGATAGATCTTGATCAACAAATATATTTTCATCTCTGTACTTTTCTCCTAGAGATAAGAACTTATCTTACAGATCAATATTGTTGATTGCGGTGTATGTTATTGCATTATTAACATTTCAACATGTTTAAATAACGATCAAAGGAGAAAGGACACCCTAAATGCACCAATTTTTGCAGATATTTTTTAATAACAGCATATACCATTTCATTCGGGAGTGTTTCTAGAATAAGTTTAGGTAACAGTCAACCGAATAACTGTTACTGTTTGGACAAGGAAAATGTTCAAATTGAAAATTTGTATTTCTTTGCAAAATCAAATTCTTGAAAACTGAGGATGCTGGCGAAAAACCGTTTGCAGATTCGAATTCAGGGCACAAAAATCTATAAGAAATGGCGATTGAATGTTACAAGTCCAAAAATGAATTAAAATTTGTTGAACGGTATTATCATAAGTAGTTTCCTCAATTTTTTGCACGCTTTTGTTCTGTATTTTTTAACGTTTTTGATGTTTCACAATTAGGATAATGAATTAAAACATCGCAAAAAATTCTCTAACACATGCTCGGTACATACTATCTGTCAGATTTTTTACAGAATTTTTACGTCATTGAACGGGAAAAATAGGGAAAGTTTCGATAATCCGAATTTTCCCTATTAGTACTTCCCTGGCCGAGATAGCGGGTTGAAACATGGCATAAACTGTTTTTTCTTGACAAGCTATCGTATGGTATATCAAAAGTTCAGATCAGTGTAAGGGTACTTTAGATCCCCTTGCCCTGCTATACCCTTTATGGTGAAAGCAAAGGAAATGTTGGATAGACGTCGAGATTGTTAATACTTTTGTACCGGGATAGGAAAAAGGGGAGTACAGTATCATCTCATATAATGACACCGTTCATTTTACAAAATGTTATTATAGAATAGGACTATATACAACGATGCAATATTACATTGGTTTGCAACACGTTCTGGTTTCCTTAGTACAAACAAAAATAAATAGTTCTGAGTGAATCTGGGGGGAACGAAATGATACCGTGGAAATAGATAATATTCTACGTGATTACTGCAAACCAAAGAAAAAAGTAGGCTGTAATTTAAAAACAGAACTGGTGCTAATTTACTAACCGATTGATGATTTGATAATAATTTCTAGACCACACTTTCAAACAATCCGAGTGTCCTGGTGGTATATGTCCAATAATATGAACTTTTTCACCATTCATTTCAGCTCCTTGTAATTCATAGACGAGCCATTGTAATTCACTTACTGGATCCGTACTGTTGATTAACAGCCACCAATTTTTGTTATTGCAATAATTCATGTTTACAGAAAGGATCCTGAATCCTGGACGAACTAAGACTGAATAGAAAGCCCCTCTTCGGACAGTATGTGAAACTCCAGCTGGTAACCAGTTTCTCCAATGTTTATCAAGTGCATCATATAGCCATGATATGTCATTTTCTTTCGGAACGAATGCAGGTGGAAAGCTGAAATACAATTAATTTTTTGAATTATTCAACACAGTCAACCCGTTCAACTCAATAACTGTTACCGTTCGAAGACAGAAAATTAAAAAATTAAAAATTTTCATTTCTGTTCAAAGTGAAATTTCTCGAAAACTGAGGGTGTTGGCGAAAAATTGTTTGCAGATTCCTATTCAAGGCACAAAAATCTATAAGAAATGGCTATTAAGTGTTACAAGTCCAAAAGAAGGTTAAAATTTGTTGAACAGTGTAATTGTTGTGCATAACCGCTCATAAGCATACGGACTCTTGGTCTGTATGAAAAAAATGTGATTTTCGTAAAAATGATATATTTTAGGCTACAAATATTTATTACCTAATAATAGTACCATTAGTCTATATCTAAGCATCAGTGTCTATTGAGCTTTAATATCCCCTAAACAGTATTTATTTCAGATTTGCAGCAATTTCGTTATTTTTGGTAACATTTACTGCATAAGTACAAGTATAACATTAATGTTTGAAACGAACAAAAAGAATGTACCTGTTAACAGGAGCACTTTCATGATTTCCTAGAGCTGGAAAGATTGGTATTCCAGGAAATATTTCAGTAAGCTGTGCTACAGTTTCATGTAAAATCTTAAGATTTTCCTCCCGTGTCTGATTCCATACATCATGAGGCGGTATGTCACCAGTCCACAAAATATAATCTATATCCTACGAAAAACATAAAATTCTGCTGTGTGCTTATACTATATTTTTTATATCCAAATTGCTTGCGAATTGTGAAAAGTAACAATCTATACGAAATCCTGCATTACAATTACGATGAAATAATAATAAATAGAATTTTCATTTTCTATGTCCTTCATTTTCTATAACAAAATCCATATATTTTATATCAAATACAATCTTAAAGTTTTTGTTTCTTTATGACATAGTCAAGAATTAAGTGAAACAATAAACAATGGTATCCACTTGGTCATGTAACATGTCACCAATTTTTAAAGTACAAATATTTCTTAATCTTTTGCGAACTTATTGTGTGTCTTGCAAGCACACGACATTTATATTCCATTACTAATGTATGACGGACTGCAAATAACTGAAAAATCATTCTTTTTCAATGATGTGCTGATACGCTGATGCTGTTTGAGTACAAATGAAAAGTTGCATAGAGTAATTCAGTGGTAATACAGATTTTCATTTTAAAAGATATACAAGCATATACGTGACCGTAAATAAATAATAGTGTTATGCAAAGTTAAAAAATACGAGGTCATATAATTTGGCGTTATTTTATATTTTCATGTGTGCCAAGTAAAAATAAACAATGTTATACCATAGACGTAGAAATGTCCGCGTAGAAGTATCATATTAAAAATAACGTAAAAAATAAAAGTACTACCGAGCCTTGATGTCAAATACAACTTTTAAAGTGCAAAATTCCAAATGATTGTAATTCGAATTCATTACTTACAGAATGAGTGTCAGCGATATGTTTAAGCATATGTTCGACGGTTCTCTTCGGTGTATCACATTTTCTGTAGTCACCCCATCGGCCAGCACCCGCGGCTGGACTTAGGGGTGCTCCGTTAGTCAGTCTGCAGCATAATGGTTCGTTACATTCCGCGTTTGCACCCACTTGATAGTAAGGATCGTAGTGTGTATCAGAGATATGAAGAACTTTGAAAGTCGGCGCACCTTCTTCGGGTGGTATAGGAGGTTTCACATGTGGTTTGTTTACTGGTGGAAAAGCCACTTCCCATTCATGTAAAGGATCGTAAACATCGTCGCAAGCGTTGCCAATTACGAAACTACAGATTTGTGGTGGACCCATATTTACTTGCTTTAAAACATAAATAACTTCTCCCTAGACAAACATATAACACTGTGAAAATAAAATTACGAGAAAATTTACCAAACTTGTTGCAAGTCTTTGCTGATTAACATCAATCGTTTTCGACTCAAAATTAATTCATCTGAGAATTCACTCCAATGATTAAAAAGTAATGAAAACTGGCATAATTTTCTGTATACGAGAAAACTAAAAACAACCAATTGCTCCTAAGTATTTAATAGATTCTTATACAGGGTGTCTCAGTTAAGATTGAACACCTAAATACCTCGTTTATTTTTAATGATGTCAGAAAAGCTTCAAACACAGATTGAATGTTTTCAAAAGAGGAGTTTCGTAAATAGATAATTTTTTTAAAATCATTCTTTTTTCGAATTTTTTTAGGGTCGCTGGCATTCATTGCCCGGGAAAGAATACATATTATATATATATTATATACATATAAAATAATTTAAAAAATTTTTAGTTTTTTTCTCTTCCGTAAATTTTCTTTTCAAATAACGCATACACGAAAAGATAATGTAACAGAAAATGAACGAAAAGTGATCGTAGTTCATTATTAAGATAAAAATCCGTAGTTTAACCTGGCGTCGGTGTGGTGGGAAAATGTAACGTGACCAGTGTGGAGGGATATCATATACCTACAAACGCTCAAGGCTCCTTTGTTGTTCCACGATAAGACACGTAGAGTGTTTCCAGATATCAAAAAACAATGATAATTACAAAAAGCACGTGTGAAAACAGATGATTAACTGCAGGTGAAAATTGATGACCAATTCGTGTTCCACGACAGAACACCCGAGCTAGAATTAAACATACGTTGCTCTTAAAATCTTAACTGTACGACACTAAACACTTCTTTAAACAAAAGAGTATGGTATAGAGGGCAATAGAGGACTCCTATTTTCAACTAAAAATGAAGCAATAAACGAATAATATAATAATGACGTATGTAATAAGAAATAAATAATAACGTATTAATAGATTAAAGTAATAAATTCAATATTATGTACATACTTAATAGTTAGTCAAAATCGTTTTATTTACTTCATAATGTTTATATATACTGTTTTCCTAAACTCACAGTTGGTTAGTATTTTCACTTTAACTATATCCCTCGCTATATTAAGTTTAAATACAATTTTGTGATATAATAAATTATAATAAGCATGTAATTTTAAATTAATGCAATTAATAAATTTAAATGTAATATAACAAATAATTGAATGTATCTAAATACGTGGTAGAAGATGTAATAGAACAAAGTATATGCTTCCTGGCCACAGATTGCCGGCTGTAGTAAAAAAATTCAAAAAAGAATGATCCAAAAAATTGGAAAAAAAATTGTGACCAAAAAAAACTGTCTTTGAAACATTTTTCAAATCAAAATCAAAGGAGATATATATTTAGATGTTCGGTCTTACCTGCGACACCCTGTATATGTAGTAAGTAATTGGTGGTCAGATTTTTACATAAAATTCATTGTAGTTTTTTAAATATTTTGATTGAAGGAAATTCCACATACGTTTAATAATAGAAGACCTTATTTTTCATACGTAAAGAGAAATCTAACAAAAAGAGTATGATTAAATTTTTAATTTTTATTAGATTTGCGAATGATATACGTATGTCAAATCTAGTTATTCTTGTTTTCAAGACTAAAGTTGCAAAAAAACTGATGTACTTTATACGATAGAGAACAATACAATGTAACAAAACTTACTCCAAAAAGCAGCGTTACTCCTTGACAAACTCGAGCGCTTTGAATATTAAGAGATACACAAAATTGATAAATATTATTCATAATTTCTTCATCGCTCTTTCCGGCCTTTATATAATACTGAAGAAGACCCGCGCCAGCTTTGCATGCTGTACAGGACACTTTTGACATTACCGACGTTTCCACTTCCATCATGACTTGCTTTAAATCTAACAATTTTAAAGCTTTATCTACAAATCCTGAAAGTTGCCCGCTTGGTTGTACTGTCTCCATATCCCACAGCATTCGAGAATAATTGTACTGAAAAATACAAGCATATAATTATTAATACAATTAATAACATTACATGCAAATATCCTGAGAGTATAAGGCTTTATGTTATAAATTATTTAAAAGAATTGTCTCCCTCCTATTGAAAATGTGTGGTCCATTTTAAAATCAAGCCTAGCAAAAAGTAGACCAAAGAATTATTAATAATTTAAAACATTTAACACAAGAAAAATGGCAATTATTTTTTAGAAGTACACATTTTCTTCACCTATTCTTTTAATGAAAATGTCATTTGAAAGTGGTCATCGTTGTGGGTATTAAATAATTAAAGAGATATGTTTATTTACGTTTGTGGCATACTTTTATTACATAGCAATAAAGTAAGTCATTGAAATATGTTGTCAAGGTCATTGTAATGTTCGGTTTTTGGAAATAACTCTTGGTTTACAGTTTACACTCACTTGTCTTGTGCTCACTTTGGAGTCCCGAACATTACCCGGACGCCTTTAACACTAGTAGAACAACCAAACCCGTCCAAATTAAGGATTTCATATTTCTTATTTTATAATTACTGAAATCATAAAGATGCTTTTGTCGGAATCTATATTGACTTTTAGTTTATTATATGTTTCACATTATACTATATTCCGTTATATTATATTATATATTATACATATTAATATAGTGTACGATTTTTTTTCTTTCTAGTGTTAAGTATCGTCCCCAAATGGTGGTATGGGATATTATCTCACCTAAGTCCTGCCGCGGTCATAAAGATATACTAGGTATGTTACATTTATTACACTGCAGTCATCATTCTGAACAAGTTTCCCCTATACAGGGTGAGTATTGTAACATGACGACTTAAAATGACTCGTAAGTTATTTGTTCTATGAAAAAAATGTTCAAACAAACGTTGCATGGTTTCCAGGGGGACATATAGTGCTATAAACTGTTATTTGCTACTTTGTTTTATTATCAAGATATGAGGGGCACCTTCAGTTTTTTAAATGGAATGACGAAAATTTTTTTTGAATTCAGATAAAGCACCAAATTCTGCGTAAAAAAGTATTACACCAAATACGGCGTAGAATTAATAATTCGTAAAACAATTTGTAAAACAAGTTTTATTTGAAGCGGTGTTTGAATGTGTTGTTCATTACAATCAATGCGCTTGTCTAATCGGATTATGAGTGAACGAAGAACTTTTTCTAGTATCTATGCAGTTATTGCGGCACATGCACCAATAATATGTTGTCGCATATCTTCGGCCGTCGTTCGTGGCTCGCGATAAACTTCATTTTTTAATGTTCCCCAAAGGAAATAATAGAGCGGTGTTAAGTCTGGCGAGCGAGCTGGCCAAGCAATGTTACTAACACGTCCGATCCAACGATTAGGAAACATCCTATTTAATGTTTTCCGCAACTGCCAAGTATAATGTGCTGGACAGCTGTCCTGTTGATGCCACATTCTTTGACGTATTAGCTACGGTACATTTTCTAATAGGCCTGGTAGTGTTTCGGACAAAATTGTGGAGTATGTTTGACTTGATGATCCATCAATGAAGTACAGTCCAATGGTTTGCTGAGCAATTATGACGCACCAAACATTCACTTTCCATCGGTGTTGGAGGTCAATTTCACGAATCCAATGTGAATTCTCTGTTGGCCAATAATGCATATTTTTTTTGTATTAATATCTCCTCAATTTGTGACCGTGGCTTCGTCAGTCCATAAAACAGTCTGTACAAATGTACTATTCGAATCTTCCATCTGGTGCAACAACCAATCACAGAATTGTACGCGTTTCTCAAAATCACGTCCATGTAGCTTCTGATGTACAGACAGGTGATACGGATGAAAGTTATCCGAATGAAGAATACGCACAACACTGCTTTCACTAATGTCAGAACCACGCGAAATCTGCCGTGTACTGATATGTGGGTTATGGGCAACAGCTGCTAAGGTATACTTTCGTATACGAAATAAAATCGCACAATGACAATAAGAAGTTACCAATTGAACATCTGCAAGCATACTTCAGTTGTTACGCGATCAATTGTTCGATGGTCTAGCAGTCCCACAGGCTCGGGGTCGACCCATCGTTTTATGCCATAATCAAAATATAATTAGATGTTACTTTACATGAAAATCTGAAGCCTTTAAGGTTGTAATATTTCTCGTTAGTTGTTAACTACTTCAGAAAAATTTGCTGGCTGAAACTTACCGAGAAAGTAAGTAGTCATAGGAAGTAATAACTTTAGCATGCATTTAACATTAACATCAATTAGCCCTAAAGTTTGCAAAAAATCACGAAAATCGGAAAATTTGAGAAATTATAGAAAAGAAAGGGATTAAGTTTCCGACTTGAAACTTATCAGCCATCTAAATTAGCATGTGCTCTATCAAGAAAAACCAAAATTAAGTTTGAGACTTTACCCCTTCTTGCCGAAATTTTCGATTGAATTTTTCAATTTTCTAGTAATCCAATCTACAAACTAGACTCAAATTTTGGCTGGTAGAGTTAGGTTTAGGATAAAAGTGTACACAACAGTAGTTATAGTTCGTCCTTTTCTGAAAAACAAGCTTCTTGTCCCATATTGTTGTGATTATCAGACACCGAGATATTTTAATTCCCGCGAATCCCGGAAACCGAAAGAAATGATCTGGACAACACAAATACGATTCTTACATGCAAACAAAAAATCATTAGAAAAAATGACGTTTGTTTTGAAGAGTCAACATATGAGGGTAAATATACAGAAAAAATTACATTTTTTAAAAATGGTCGTGCGACGACAATGGACCACTTCGTTTGGAATGACCCAGGAAGGAAAGAATATGAATATCACCGTGGTAAAAGAATAAAGAAATAAAGAAACGAGAACGACGATACAAGAGAGTAAACATTTGGTAATAATAAGAATAAAAATACCCGTGCAAGTTGGTCAGGATTGGTTCCATTAATAACGACAGTTTCTGCGGTTGGTGGTAAGTCTCTGAGTGTATCGGTGAATGGTAAAATGGTAACATCAAATTTTTCTGCTAGTCTTGCTCTTGCAGCGAGCCATTCATCTGCAAGTTGCGTCCAGTTGGTTGCAGCTATTTCCGCTTCCCTCTTTAATCTGTCCCGAATGGGATTTCCTGGGCAGAAAGCGGAAAGTTTAAATTTATTTTATTGTATTGAAATACAACGATAATTATGTCTGTGTATTATTTAATAATGATTAACGGTCTGCGACCAGATGTTACGGTTACTTAAAGTAGGTGCAGTGTATAAAAACTATTCGTGCAAGGAACAGTTTCAATTAACACTTCGTGTTGCCTTATTTATTATAGACATAAATAAATATACATACGATTTGTAAAACAAATAAGTAAGATAAATTTCAGAGAAATATAACGATGTAATTAAATAATAACAAAAGTTAGCAGTTGTAATTAGATAAACAAGCGATATTCTGCTTCCTAATGTTACGTTTCGAACAAAATTCTTTTTTCTTTTTTTTTCTTTTTCTTTTACTTCGGCTGTAATGTGTTACGATAATGCATATCATTGTGGGAGCTCCCTAATCGAATGCAGTACGGTCTTTGATGTTTATAAGATAGTTTTTCTCATTGGCGACGCAAATAAGCTCGTATATATAACGCATTCTTTTCCTTGCAGTCAACGTGATCCCACGTTCAGAACGCTTGATTGTAACGTGAGGTAGATATTTGCTTCGCCAAACTACCGAATGTAAACCTCAGGCGTCCCGTCAGCTCCGATAAAATATCGAGCATCTCGAACTCTCTTCTTCGCGCGCGCCTCGTACGTAACACTAACAATAAAACTATTGCAACAGCATACAAAACATATTTGTACTTGTTACGCGTCAATTCTTACTAGAACTCGCCTAGAGTCGTTAATCATAGGTTTGACCGTCGTAGTACGCGTACGGTCGCGCATTCATCCGAGTATTTTCGCCTGAATGAGTACCGAACGAGTATCAGACGCGCACCAAAGAATCGAACGTTCGTTGATGGGAACGGCGAACCGAGCACGAACCGAACACGAACCGAACATCTGCCGAGCAGCCCGATCCGTTTCGTACATTGCCGACGTTGTATTGTTAATAGCTGTGACCTGTCAAAAATTCATTTTCAAATAAAATTTGAATTTGGCGACCGAAGAAACCCTTATGTATGATATTTTAAAGTGAAAACAGTATAAAGTTTAAAAATAGGCTTCCCATGCGGTGGGACACAATAAGCCCCTGATGATCGAGTACTAATGGTTTAAGGGTCAGCCATATTTATGGCTAACGCTATATCTTTGAAGCAAGCTTGAACAGAAGGATATTTTTTAAGGTAATTCCTCACGGTGGTCCTATTTTACGATAAATGAATGTTTTTACTTATAAAATAAATTTTTATATTCCGAAAAGATGACAGAATAAATTTACAAACTTACATACGATACATGTAAAACTTGACCTCTGAAAATTTAAATTTAAAAAAAAAAATTAAAATTGAAATAAAAATTTAAATTTAAAAAAAAAATTAAAATTGAAATAAAAATTTTAAACTCCCGAAAATTTTTCAACCGTCACACTAAGAGGACACTTTAAAGTAATACATACCTAGTGTAAGCCTTAATGTACCGACAAGGAGAGAGACGTGTATACTGATTATGATCCATTTCTTATTTGGCATTCTAGTTTAGGGTCTTTCGTGTTGTCAACTGCAACAAAAATCATAATACACCTGTTAGACTGTAAAAGTAATCATCAATGGTTGTTGCTAACACAGCTTTATAGCGCGTTCAGGAATTTTTAGAGTTCATTGAAAAATCTTTGGAAGGAAACGTGTCCCCGACATTACACACGTACACACCTTGTTTGAAAGGTATTCTTCATATAAAAAACGGTTTACACGTAATTTAGGTGGCAGCGTTAGGTTCACCACCCTGTATAATATAATAACCTTGTTTCGTCAGTATTTTCAAGAATTAATAACTTGGAAACGAAGTCTCGAACGCAGTTTCGTCATTCTTGATTTTCGTTTTACAATTAGTTTTGCATGGATAATTTACCATGTGAAAATGTCCCAGATGTTTTTTTATTAACAACCTGTACGCAAGCAACCTAACGCGATACGCAGAAATTGATACATTATATTGATTCGTTCATACGTATTCTATCACGACTTCAAGATGGTATTTAAAATTTTGGACGACGCTCGTGACTACTGTTACTCCTATGTAGGTCACAGATGAACATTCGAACGCGATGAAATCAACACAACACAAGTTAACGGTGTATAAACGTAGGGTAAACGTACCAATAAATGAACACTTAAGAGATTTTGTAACTATTAAAGTCGAATTTTAAACGATAATAATACTAATAAATATTTAGCAAATGAAAGTTAGATTTTTTAACGTCTGCTCCTTTTTATAACGTATAGAGTTCAATTTTAAATCTTGAAAAAATGTATTTAATTTAGGTGAAAATACAAAAATACAAATTTCACCAGTAAATAAACATTAATCAGTAAGTAAACATTTTTGACCAATGCACAGTCTAATATTTCAGCAATCTAGCCGGACATACACGGTATGTTCAAAAAGTTTCTAGACTGATTTTTGTACAGATATACTATTAGCCTCATCTCTGAAATCGAGATGATACTAAATAATTTAGACCTTTTTTAATGCCCTATAATTTTCGTGTTTCCCGATGTTCATTTGTTTATTAATACTACGCTGTTAAAAGTTGCTTGATTTTATACGTTGTCACGATTACAACCATGGAGCAACGGGCCGCAATTAAATTTTGGTTTAAAAGTGGAATAACTGCGATTGAAATTTACAGAATGATGCAAAAAGCATACGGACATGATTGTCTGAGTCGTGCTGTAGTTTTTCAGTGGTTCAAACGATTTAAAGAAGGTCGTCAATCACATGAAGATGACAAAAGAGAAGGACGACCTTCGACAAGTTGCACCGAGGCGAATGTTGAATGTGTCCGTCTCCTGTTGTCGAGAGACCGTTGTCTAACAATAAAAATGATAGTTGACGAATTAAATATTAGAATTCGACGTGTAAGGCACGAGGTTTACCGATCGGGTGAGTGGTTTCTGGTCCACGACAACGCACCCGCACATTCGTGAATCATCGTCTCAGAATTTCTGGCAAAAAAAAGCGTAACTGTTATTAACCATGCACCGAATTCACCAAATTTTGCACCTGCCGACTTTTTCTTATTCCCGAAAATCAAATTGCCAATGAAAGGGACCTATTATGAAGATTTGAATGCAATAAAACAGGCAGTAATCGAGCAATTAAACAGGGTAACACTAGAGGAATTTTCCAAGGCTTTCAAAGCACTCTATAAACGTTGTACTGGGTGTGACGCTAGAGGAGGAGTGTATGTAGAAAACTGAACAATAAAAATTCCTTAATCAACAGAATTCAATTTTTTATTACACCAGTCTTGGAACTTTTTGAACATACCGTGTAAATCAATTCCGATGTAGATACAGATTTATAAACACACATTATAAATCAACAGTGAAATATCTAAATCGCCAGCAAACGTAATTGTTTTTGTAAAAAATTACCTATAAATATTAATGTAATGTGAGTTACAATGGATGTGTGTGTGAATATGTGTGCGTGCGTGTGCCCGCGAAACGGTGAAGTCGAAGTCGCGCGATACCGAGCCGAAAACAAAAGTAAACATTATCATCGCGCGATCGCGAGGAGTGTAATGTGTGAATGCGTATGTGAGAATACATATAATCATAATAAATAGTTGAATTATTTTTACAAGAAAATTCTCGTGATTTCAATGACATTATTTCTGACAATATAAAGTAAAAAATCTAGCAACTTAAATTTTCATTAGTAGATGACTCGTTCTACGAACCCGTCTTATTGTTCTCTACTTCCGGTTACCAGTCGACGTATTTTTGTTATTGTCACATTGTGTCGATGTAATGTTCCTCCCTCCCGTACGAAGAATCTTATCAATCGCAAATCAAGATAATTCGGTGTCGACGATACGTCGTATAATATGACAGACCCGATGTATAGTTTGTTAATCCGCAAAATATAATGTTTCATTTTGTATTTAATTAACAAGTAATATCCGCCAACAAAAATGTTGAGATAAAGCCTAGAAAATAAAACAGACTTTTCCAATCGTTTTTATCTAATAGCATAACAATATTGAAGTATAAAGAATATTGTAGTAGTAAATGATTATACGTATACACTATTACTAATATTATTAATTTTATTATTTGATCAAATTATCAATTTACCGTATAACAAGAAAGTTCACTGACCGCACAAGACTTTCTTGTCTAATCGCGAATTCTACATGCGAGATACGATTCCGCTTTTATGTCAAGTTAGCTGTCTTCTTTGTTCGAGAAATAGAGAATCAACATTCAATGCCACTGAGTGGTAACCTCATCAAATTGATTCATTACGCTGACATTCTACAATACTCTACATGGTTGCCACCGCTTTACTTTATCCTACGATTTCTTTTAAAAACAGAAAAAGGACGCATATCAGAATTAGTTCCCTGTCTTTTCTATTTTTGGAAATGTTATATGTGTGTGCGTATATAAATATTTATAACGTCTTATGAAACAGAGTTCAATTTTTAATGAAATCATTTTAAAAACCATAGAAAAAAACAAAATTGTGTTTTATAATATTATACTATTTGTAGTGACCATCGGTACATAATATGCGAACATTTGGCGAGCAAATGGTCGGCCTCAGTTACGCCTACCCACGAGCTTAACTAATTACAATAACTTCTGGTGTGTGCGTACTTCCCGAAAAAGACGAAGCGTCGGGACGTCACTTTCTTCCGATAACGAACAAGAGCAGATCGCAAATAAATCGGTACTCTGTACATCGTCTTAAATAAAGACCTACTCTAGAACGCTGTGTGGTATATTTACACGTGAACTTAGATTCCTTTATATTCTTTACGCATTTTACATAACTCAAAAATAAAGAATGAATGTTCGTTAGTATTTTCACAAGAAGCGCCGGATTGGTTCCAAGAATATCGATCACCGCGAAAATACCGATAGATAATCGATAATTCGAACAGAGTTGTGCAGATTCCCTCAATTCGTTGACGCATGCGCATTATGCAACTGTCGCGCAAGTCAGGGACGTACGAGCGAATCAACGCTGGGCGCGCACTGGCACCCACAGGCTCGTATTATGATGCGAGGGCGCCCCGGCTTAATTAACGAAGGATTCCGGAAAATAAACAAAATATAATAAAACTATTTTTACAATTTCTTATATTGTTTATGAGCAGCTCCACAAATACAAACAGGATGCATTTGATTGCGTATTGTTTTTACCGAGGAAAAAATCCTTAAAAAAAGCTTAACTTTTTCGGTCGTCATAGTAAAATGACACCTTAAGACAGTGCTTTCGCTGTTCAACTTAGCTCTTTCGAGCCAAGAGAAATCCCCCACCACCTTCCGTTGTTACCGTGGAGTAACAGAGACAAAAGCGAACTTTCTCTACGACGTCACACGGTGCGAAATAAAGATTGGAAGGGAAAGCAGGCGCGTGGCTTCCGGTAATTCTACCTGCCACAAATGACCATCGACGACCTCGAGAAGGCGATCGTCACCGCCAGCAGAGGCCAGGAGAGGACGTCCGCACCTACATTACAGAACTGTAATCACTCATGTGTCCACAGAGGTACCTGAGCGTAACGAGGCAGATGGAGCGCTTCTACCGTAACCTCAGAGTCGAATAACAAAAATACATTCGGCGCACGGATGTTTCCGACGACCCGGGCTACTGTTGATGGCCGACGCCTTCGAAACACTTCAGCGCAGGAAGGCATCGACACGGACCATCCAGCCTCGAAGCGGCCTTGCTGAGGTCAAGATCACATATGACCGAGACACCTGCTGTTGGCGGTGCGGCCAACGCGGGCACTACCGCCAAGACTGCCGTCACCCAGGGAAATTATTCTGTTCCTATTGCAGCAGGGATGGGGTCGCAAGCCGGGACTGCGCCTGCCACCCAGCTCCGGAAAACAGCCGCGGGGTCGGAAGCCGAGGTGGGACCAGACCTCCACGAACCGAGGCGCCTCCGACCACACAATAAGGCCCGATGGTCGCCTGTACCTTCCGTTCGGGCTAGACGGACGACAGTTCCAAGCGCTAGTCGACACCGGGACTGTCCGATCCTACATAAATAGCGACGCTGCCGACCTGTATCGCCGAAACGGGGGACCCACCTGCCCGGCCGAGCTACGAACCCGAGTAGCTAACGATATCGAGGTCCCGCTACAAGAGGAGACGAACGTCACCGCACGGATCGGAGGACAACACGTCACGTACCCCTATCTAATAATGCCGACGTTGGCTCAGGCCGGCCTGCTAGGGATGGACGTTACGACGCCTGAGGACCGAGGTAGTCATCGATCGACATTGATAGGGCTCCAATCCCGATCGGGCATGGAGTCCAGCGGCGGGGTTTCCAGCTAGGATGCCGCGCAGCAGCAGGAATTGAAGAAATTTTTGCTAACGGAAATCGCTGCATTCAGTCGGATCTGCGGGACCACCCACCTCGCGGAATACCGAATTCGACTGAGAACGAGCGAGCCACTGAAATAACGTTACCTCCTAAGAAACTCCGCCATATAGGCCGTCATCGACCAGGATGTGGCCCAGATGCAGGCC